CTCCTGTAAATGTATCAAAAAAAGATTATATGCAGGATAGGAGAATGAAGTTACATTATATATTAGCACACTATGTCAAATTTGTTATGAGTTAACCATATTCATAATTTATTTATTTATTTATTTATTATTTATTAACACTTTATTGCACCAGAAAGACAAACAATTAAACAAAGAACAAACAAGTAATAAGTAATAAGGTACAAAAGGCGGTCTTATCGCTTAAGCAATCTCTTCCAGACAACCTTTGGGTAGAGGAGAGAAGACAGAAAGTGGTAGATGGCGCAAGAATGGACTAGAGAAATAAAGAAGGCATCTTAATACTAAATAATATACATATATAATTTACACATTTGTACAATTTCGTCATGGGTAAAATTATAAGACGAGTTTCGATTGAAGAGTGATATGGCAGTTAAATTACAGATACGTGTAGGATGTGAGGCTATGGATTCCTATAGTTAATAATTGGATATATGCATCCCTAGATGATATTTTTGCCATCCCGAATGACAAAACATGAGGGCTCAGCTCCTTATTATTAACAATAAAAAACCCATAGGCTACGTAGGCGTCAAGTTCGACTATGTTATTCATTCTTAATTCCTGACGCATGGAAAAATATACAAAATTTCTAATACATACAAAATTATTAATATTCTATTCCAGAATATGTAATAATTCAGGCCATGAATAATTAGTACTATTAGAAGGATAACAGATAAATTATTTGATAGATCTAGATCAAATTTATATAAGCAATAGACTATAAATAAATGAAGATTTAACAAAACTGGTTGACGTGAATAAAATCTTTGAAGTAGTACATACAACAAAAAAAAAATACAATTGGTATGAAAAACAAATTTTGAAGTCGCTTGAAAAGAGGTATCTTTCAGCATGTTCTTTTTTTAACGGTACCGATAGTTATCTTTGTCAGCTCGAAATAATTAATAATATTTACTTCATTTATCACACTAATCATGCTTCATTTATCTGCCTAATATAGTGCATTTATTACCTATAATTGGTGCTATCTGTTATACTCGTGAACGGGTGTTACTTCTAGAGACTGGTTTAGTCTGGTCACTATGACTAATTTACGTTGTTACTGAAATAATAATCTTAATTAGGGGTATATTTAATGAAATGCTCATATAAATTTGTACTCTATAATGATTTTTATTTAATCTAAAGCTTGTTTAAAAGAATAAAATATAAAGTATAAAGTAAAAATCTTAATATTGTACAAATTTAGGTATTTATATCTGAACAAAGAAAGGCTCACGCATATTTTTTATTTTATTTTGTTGGATATTTTGAATGAAATGAAAATTCAGCTAAGAAGTATGAGTAATTGTCTTGTCTACGATTTTTTTTAATTGAACGTTGTTTAATTTTAGTTTAAATGAAAATTATCAATAAAGGTCATTACAGTTTTCATTTTGTACCCTGAAATGTTAAAAATAAGGGAATAGGGAATATAATTTAGGAAGGGAATAGAATAGATACAAGAATACTGAATACTTTATCCTGTGATATTACCATACGCATTTCTACCATCGATCGTACGTACCACGACGTTACTGTTGATATAAATTTAAAAGCGTCTCTATACAACTGGATACATTTATCCATTGTGTCCCATAAGATCGTGTGATATTGTGTCGTTTGACGGGAAATTATAAAAGAAACCATTGTGAATTCACTATAGGCAAATCTGATTTTAACGTTACCCTTTCACACTTCATCGCTTCCCAGTGTGCCAACACTTTTGTTAATGGGTGAATATGGAATGTTGCTATCGCTTGCTCTGACACTTGGAAGATCAGTGGGATAGATATAGATAGATAGAGGATAAGCATGAGGTCATGATTGTTCATGAACCATGATTGTGTCTTCACAATTTGACCAGACTTTATTAAGAGTTTTCCTTCTCTTACATTGATGCATTGTTCTTTATTCTTCTATTTACCTCATGATAATCTAATTATTTGTTACGTTTGATGTATTTATTTTATTGCCAGTAGACTTTATACAAACACACAATTTTCTACAGGATGTTATCTTTTATATAAAAATATACCTACTGTAATATGTAGACACCCATAAGTTTGGTGAAATTCAAACTAAGATTTAATTAAAGGTTATTTCTTATAAAATTTTATTTTTGATTTGAAAACATTTTATTGTACCCGTTTAAATTATTTACTCCTAATTTAATATTGTCAGTGCACCATTTAGTATTTTTAATTGTATTGAAGAATATTATTGTGTAACTTCATTGTAAAATAGTTATAAGAAAACTGTTGTTATCTCAATTAAATAGACATCTCTAAAATATCGTTAGGTCTATAGACAATATAAAATGTAATTTTACTGATAGTCTAGTTAGAAAGTAGATTAGCTAAATGCCTCTTAACGTTCAAGTAATCCGTCATTCGACAATTGATGACCGTGAGCAGAATGGATGAGAAAACTTTGAATTGAGATACGACGTTATAAAAACTTCGGAGGCGATATCTTAATACTTAACTTTTTAATCTTAAACTGCATTCTGGTGACTTAGTGGAAATTGTAATAAAAACTTCGTGAGCTAATGGTAGAAAAGCCGGATGCCAGAAGTAGAGTGTAGAAAGTCCTCCGCGTGGGAATCGCAGTCTCAACTATTTCTAGCATAAATCAGCTTACTTGATAAGCTATTAAAACATATTTGTGTGAACTTCTGTATTACAGTCGTAAGATTAAACAATTTTTTACTTAAAAATTGGTACCACAAAGAACTGGTTATTTTGTAACTATGCTCTGATGCATTATGAATCCGACGATTAAATGCTGTACTAATGTAAGTAAAAGTAGAGAATTTTATATGATACTGCCTGTACCCGCGGTTTCACTCCCATGAAATTTATAGCCTGTGTAAAATATTATAAATGCGAAAGTTTGTGAGTATGGATGGAAGAACGGATTTTGATGTAATTTTACACTAATATAGATTAGCCTATACATAATAATAACAATTCTTATGTATAGGCTAATCTATATTAGTGGGTAATCTACATCCATACACACAAACTTTCGCATTTATAATATTTGTAAAATATATATTTTTACAGATCAATTTACATAGCACCGTCTAACTTAAGCAGAGCTTGTGTTATGGCTAATGAGCAACTGTAGAAATACTTAAATACATTTTTTGTAAATCTATCAATGTTTAATATCATAGCTCAATTTAAGTATTACGAATTTCCTACTAAAAACCAACAGTTCAGTATAACTTGATCTTTTGATAACCGGTTGTCTTGTCAGAGATCTATAGTACTGGTCTATCTAGTCAATTTTAATACATACGAACTAAACGTTTAGTATAATTTGATCTCTCTACCTGTTAATGCGGAAATATTGCAATACCAATTTTTTTTATCATTGTCTGTCTTGTTAATATAGTTAATGTGAATTTACGATAAAAAAGGAGAAAAAAATCAATTAGATTTTTTAATAAGGGATTCTCTTATTCTGTTGATATTTAGAGTCACATTATAAAAACTTTGGACGCAATATAAAGAGAAAATTTATTTGTTAAGAGCTACCAATATTACTAAGCTGATTGTTTAAACTAAAAAATGTGTCTAAAAAGCGGGTTTTTATAATATTTTTTTAATGGTAAATAATGCGTTGGTGCGCCACCTGTTTTATAAATGTGCGTGCGCACGCCTGTGCTAACGCTTTACGCTGGCGGGACACCAGTGGAAGATGATAAGATAAACATGATGTTAGGTCCATTAGCTCATCGTGATAAATTTACCAGGCATTTATCACGATGGTTTCCAGGGGGAATCGTGTCAAGTTCAACCTGACTGATTGATGTAGACTGTGTGCTAGGACTATTATATGACCCAATGGGATCATCAGTCCACATTACTAAGAATTTCCTTTTCCCCTTTTTTATAATATTAATACTCTGAAGTGCTCAAATGATGGTTAGGTTTATAATCTATTATAAGTCGACGGTACACGGTAAAAGACATTTTAATGAGGATAAGAGTTTCTGATAATGTTGACTCATAAAAAGTCCCTATCCGAGTTAAGACAACTCACGCTACTCGCTTCAGTCCAGGGACATTACCGAGGACTTTATCATGTACTATAAAATGTGGGAATGGTTTTTGAAATACAGCAGTCTGGAATTGGAGATTGGTGATTAAGTTGTTGTAAAGAAGCAATATATATAGGTGAGATTTTTATTTTATTGTTTTGTCCGGATCCGATCGTATTCATAATTATTGTACGTTGTCGTAAAAATCCGATATTTAAACCACTGATTCACAACAGTTTCTCTTCATTGAAATAGAGCCTTCGCAATTGTCATACCAGATAAGAGAGTCAGAGGTATTGTCTACTACTTAATGGTTGTTTATTATTGTGTTTAGCATGTGTGTGATCACAAATATTCAGTGCGGAAACTTTACTACCGTTACGATCTTCTCTAATGGTGATAAAATTCCGACCGTTGTTAAGTCTACACCCATATTGCGACACGTGCTTTGCCTTTGATCGAGGCATCATCAGGCATTGAATAAAGTTCGGATATAGCTTGGAAGCCTTTTCTGCGACCAAACCGCAACTTGTCTCTTGTCAACGTCGGCTCGGGGAGGGATGGAAAGCTTAATTATGGGGCCACCCCATTAGTAGTAATCTAGTAATGTCATAACTACTGCTATCGCAAATTGTCATGATTTTTTCTTGACTAGCCATGATGGGCTAATTAATCTGATTTCATGCTCATACTATCGTCTACCATTACTACCATTAGCAAAGGTTTTAGGCTTATACAAAATTCATTTTAATCTATTCAAAAATACAGACATAGCGGTGTCGTGGTGAATAATAAGATTGACAAGCAATTTCGTTGTCGAGTATCTTTTATATTGAATGTGGCATAGAAACATGTATTCTATAATAACCTACAATACGATCTTTTTATTTTTGCAGATAAAATGTATTCTGGTGTTCTTTGTGCAATTCTGATGTTTGCTTGTGTGTACGCACAAGTTTCCATACCACCGGGCTACAAAAATAAGTACGTAATTGCAACTATATAATTTTTTAAATGCCAAATACTTCCGATAATATTTTAAGAAAGGTGTTAAATATGAAAGTGGATAGTTAAAAGGGCAAAGAATGGCCGAAAAAGAGGTGGATTGACTGTGTTAAAGATGATATGGTAAGAAAAGTAGTAACGTTATTTACTTACGTTATTTACTTTTCTGTTTGCATTTAAAAAAATCTATATAAGTATTTATATCAGTTGTCTAGAACCCATAACACTAGCTCTGTTTAGCTAGTACTAGGTAGCGTTTAGTGAATGTACTGGGTTATTGTTATTACTTTATAAGTTAAAGCAAATGTTTTGTTTAGGTATCCGCAGTATTATTATTCAAAGCAAGCCCGCCATACCAGAGATGTGACGTGGGATACACAAGTGGGTAAAGGAAAAGTCTTCGGCACACTTGGCGACAATGAACAGGGACTGTTTGTGAGTTATATATCTATTTTTTACGCGACTGGAATGACAAACTGATTTGTCGAAAATTGATGGTCAATCTTATGAAATGTTGCCACGGAATTATTTAAAATTCCTTTTACTATACAAACATTAGATGTCTTTACACAATATAAATTTTGCGCTGTAAGTAGCAATATGAAAAAATTGGATATTAGTTTTATTTCTGACTGACTAACTGATACCAATATTTGATATTCTAAAACAAAATCTGAGATACCACTATAGTTATGCTTCGGTATCATTGCTCTTATAATAAGCACAGCAAAATGTGGACGTGGTAAATAATACATTTAGCATACCAATAGTTAGAATGTCAAAGATAATGTCAATACGGACTGTAAATTTTTTGAAGAATTATTTTACATAATTATAAAAATAAGAATTTTAAGTAATCCCTAAAAATAACATTTTTTAATAATTTGTATTGTAGACAAGAATAACTTGCACCTCGATTACGTGAGCTGTCAAACAAAAAAAATTTTAAAATAACATAATCCTTTATCCTTTTGGCAGGGCAAAGGCGGTTACAAGCAAGAAATATTCAATGATAACAGAGGAAAGCTAGAAGGCCAAGCGTATGGCTCCAGAGTGTTAGGACCTAATGGAGATAGCAGCCATCTTGGAGGAAGGCTTGATTGGTCTAATAAAGATGCTAAAGCAGCACTAGATCTTAGTAAGCAGATTGGAGGGCGTACAAGCGTAAGTAACCTAAATTATTTACTTCAGTTTGTGTTGCTTAGTACGAGTATAAAACAAAGTCGCTGTCGCTGTCTGTCCGTCCCTATGTATGCTTAAATCTTCAAAACTACGCAACGGATTTTGAAGCGGTTTTTCTTAGTAGATAGATTGATTCAAGAGGAAGGTTTATATATATAATACATGTACACCGTGCGAAGCCGGGGCAAGTAGTTAGTGTAAAATATATTACGAAGATAAATTACAGATAATAAAAGCTACCGAGAACAAGAATATTTGTCGAGGTAGACTTTTAATCAAGCCTTTAAAAAGTCTGCCTGTAAACAGGCAGCTTATTTACAGTTTACAGTTTCCCTAATTTCAGTCGCCAACCAGCTTGCTTTGAGAGATGTGTTTTGGTTGAAGGATTTGATAAGCCAGTGAAATTACAGGATAAGGTATATGACATTTTAGTCTTTCGAAATGCCAATTTACTAGTGGCATCAAGGGCACCACTTGTTGAACCACTTCCTATCAGAGGAATCGTCAGCTTGTTTGAGATTGTCATTTCACAAAAATGCAAATTATAGCCGATATCTGATTAACTATAGAATAATAAAACAGAGATATTTTGTTACAATCATGCTTAGGTACTATTACTTACTTGTTACAATCATACTTTACCATTACGACCGCCATTTTGTTTGTGTTTGTCATTCTAGTTATATGTATCTAAGAAATTATTATCTGATTCACAGGTAACAGCCACAGGTTCTGGGGTTTGGAACATCGATAAGAACACTCGTATCTCTGCTGGTGGTGCCATATCTCAGGAACTAGGGCGTGGTAAACCCGACATTGCTGTGCAGGGTCAATTCCAACATGATTTCTAATTTGTCTGATAAGTATATTGTAACACCATATGTCATAGTTTATTACAATGTTCTATAAAGTCTTTAGTACTAGTATAGAATTAATTTAATTGTGATATAATTATAAGAAATAATCTTTATATATTACACACCAAGTGTAGTTTTACACTTGGCGAGGATTAACTAATATAACTCAAAAGTTTAAAATGATTATAATTAGGTTTTTAAGCACAAAAGTTTTTATGGTACATATTGTACTAGGTGTGCGATATTATGATATTATAATGTCATGACTAGGTAAAAGCTATCGTTTTCTCTTAGTATGTTAAGATTTGATAGGAAGTTGAGAATTGAAGTAAGTATAATTATAATTGTGGATGGAAGAGCAGAAGAACAGCAAAAAATAAAAGGATGGACTGTATGAAAGTTAATATGGCAATACGAAATGAATTATGAGGTGACTGCGAATAGAGATGAATGGAAGAGAACAACATACTGAGAAAAGCAGATGATGATATTTTGTAAATACGATTTTATATATTATAGTTAATTGTTTATTAAGTATAATAATCAGTATCTGAATTTTAAACTAAAAAAATTCGATTTCGATCTTAAAAAAACTTGAGGTCCGATTAGGTAAAATAACAAGGTTCGGAAGACGGCGGAAGGCTAGGCTCTTACCACGTTGTATTCAAATACACCTACCGAAAGATGGGCTAGTCATCTGTCATTCACCGTAACGTCGATAATTGACAACAAATCTGCCAACCCCATCCGGTACAACAGTCGTGATACTATGTATAGGTTTGGAATGCCAAGTGATATATTATATTTGATATTAATTTATCTTAACCTTTTCTAGTCGACTGGAATTCGGATTACAGTCTTTGACAAAGGGTCAAATCCCAATAAAGGCTTGAGTTTTGTTAACCGTTAAGCTTCTTGAGGTTATATTTCTTAACTCAATTTCGACAAACAACCCTCCTATATCGTTACTCTTACATAAATTGTATATTAAGTAGTTAAACTAAATTTCTTAAAGATGTACGATCTTTTTCGATATAGAAATACAATATTTTTTAAATATATAACATATTAAATATACATACTAAAAGTAAACTACTGGTTTTATTTATTCTGCGACGTGAAATACTTGTATACACATTGTATTTTTTATATATGATTGTTTTTTTTTTAATATTATAAAGTTATCCATTTGTTCACAAGAGCACCTGGCAAGTTTCTTACTCATTCTTCTTGGCTAAACCTGCAATTTGACTGATAGAATAAAAAAAATACTATTTTTAAACTTTCGTGTATAACATAAATTCCTTATATTATTAACCGGATTTTAGTTTGGGAATTCCAATTTTCCATACAATATTCCCAGAATAATTGTATGGAAAATATATTAGGTTACCTAATCGAAACGTCGAGCGAGGTAAATATTTGCCATAAAATTATTCCTGTTAAGTCTCGTTTAATAATATAAAAAAGATACTGTTCAAAAGTGCTGTTATACCTACCATGTTTATTTGAATATAGATTATTTTCATTTCTAAATTAATGAACATGGTAATACCGTTAGTAACTGAGTTACTAACGGTGTAATTTATAACAATGTAATAACCTAAGGTACAATATTAATAGGATAGTGGGATAGTTAATAACCGCACGATATTTGAAACCCTATAATGCATATTGCCGCAAGAGAATGCAGACAGTATCGAGGTCGTACTCCCATCCGGTGCAGGCTCGATTGTCCGCGCTTCTGCACGCTTGCTATTGTTTTTCCTTCCATTTCATGGATGGTTTAATGCAAACCTGCTCCATGAAGCAGCTATTTTTCATGTCATTTATATTCATCAGCTATTTTTTACCCGGTACAATTTCCTCGCTTTGATTGACCTGCATAAAATAGTTATTTTTAGGTCCTCTCTACTAATCGCCACTGTTATCTACGAATGGTCCGGGAGGCGATTGAAATTAAAAAACCTCCCAATTTCAACAAAGAGGATGGCTTAAAATTATCATCTACGTGGCATCCAGTCATAAATAAATTCAAGCAAAGTTCAGTAGCATCAATAGTCAATAAGTGTACGGATACCGTGAGTGCTGTGTGTCGGGTGTGTGGGTACATGAAAAAACTGCTGTCACTTATCTACATTGACATCGCTGTTACTCCAGTCAGCTCGTGACCACGGCTAGTGCAACCTAGTCGAAACGTCGAGAGAGGTAAATACGAGTACCTTTATTTGCCATAATATTTGTTCGTGTTAAAACCTTGTTAATAATATAACTACTGCATAAAAACTTGAACAAAATATAATATTTGGTACATCCTAATCAGTTAGTCATGCATATAGTTACAAGAGAATACAAACGAATATTGAATTCATGCGCCCATCCGGTATAGGATTCGAACCTATGTCCATGCTATTGTTTTTTCTTCTATTTCATAGACGGTTTAACACAAAATTTAAATTGATTATTTTCATTTAGTAAATGAACTAAATGAAAATAATCAATTTTAGGTTTTTGTTTGACTGAAATAGCAAACAATTTGATGAACCTCATACATGGTCATTATGCCCCTTATGTCTGTATATTTTCTATAAACTAAAGTGTAGTTTAAAAAGTAAGCTGCTTGATGGATGAGAGAGAGGTACCCAATTTCTTTGTACAACCACGATCAAAATTCTGACAAATCTGTCACTTGCAAGGTGATTATGATTAAAACACTTCTTGTGACATAACTATAATAGTTCGACACATGCCGTCGTGACACTTTTTGTGGATAATCATGTGTTCTACAAAGTCGTAGTACATCATTTTGTTCTATCATCAATACTTTTTGCAGCGCACGCGGTGTTAGGTATTCTTTATGTAATTTTTTTACACCAGGGGTAGACTTAGGACTTTTGACTTATTAGAGTTTTAGTAAGGATCCCTAATTTTTTTGGAAATATAATATAGCCTATATTACTCAGAGATAGTATAGCTTCCTAATAGTGAAAGAATTTTTCAAATCGGTCCAGTAGTTTCGGAGCCTATTCAATACAAACATACACACAAAAATACAAATCTTTCCTCTTTATAATATTATATTAATATAATATTATATTAATATTATAAAGAGGAAAGATTTGTATTTTTGTGTGTATGTTTGTATTGAATAATATAGATGGGGATAAAATTAGTCTTTCCTGTAGGAACATAGTAGTACTACTACGTGCTGGAGCACATTGTAAGATCAAAGTGATCATGCAGCATGGATGAGTTCGCTTGAATCGGGAAATACTACAGTTTTCTTCAGCATGCAAAGTATTATCGCGTCCTGTATGTTCCAAACCCTATAAAAAGTAAAATGAATTTGGCGTATTTTAGGTAATATCCACAATTTCATTATGATTCGTTAAGCGCTTAAAGCATGAAAGCGTAATCAAAAAGCTTTGTGTTTAATCAATCAACTCTATTTTCATTACTTGTTAGTATGAAATATTGAATTTGAATAAACAAATTAAACTAAATTGAAGTCGTGTTTATAAAAGTAATCAACTTGATTCAGGAAAAATATTAATCACAATGACGATTTACTATTTTTCAGTTCAGTCGATCAAATATATTTTTTTAGCTATCCGTTTCGTGTGAAATATTTTTACTTTTATTGTATTTCTTGTATAGACAGTAGTAAAATTCAATTACTACTAGGATTTACATTGGTATTTAGTATGTCCACAGCAAAAAAAAAGCAATTGGGAACTATATTTTTAATATTAATTATCATTAAAAGTCATTAATAATTTTTACGTCGCATCGTATTGAACGCAACACTTGACATGTCCACATTTCGCTCAGTATATTTAATTCAACGAGGCTGAGGGCGAGTCTACCGCTATCTTGTCGATCGATTTTTAGTATTTAACTGTTTACATGTTCGTAGTTTAGAAAAATATATTGTATACAGGTAGACACAAAGTTCTTTTCTTTTCTTTTCTCTTTCAGACCTTACGATCTTTATGGTTTTAAGTCAGGATAATTTTATTTTATGTAATTGATATAGCAAACATGCTGTCGGTTAATCTCGTAATAACCGTTGCCTACACATATATGGGCTACGGATATTATCGTTATCGTGAATATTCTTTATTGCACGAGTAAAAGTAGTAGAAGTGAGCGAGAGTATATCATGTGCTGTGGCCAAGATTCCACTCATGCATTGCCATCCCAGATGAAGATGTCACGTGTCACTCTTAGTATGTAATTTCACAGTTTTTTTACCCTACAACCTAAACACATCTTAGAAAGCAAGTTACTATTCACATGACTTTTAACAGTATACCTCAATTTGTACCACTGGGCCACGATAGGGCCAAATATAGAATGTTATTATTATAGTGTTCACTTATTTGTTATTTATGTCTTCTTGTATGTAAGTTGTTATCGACGTAATATCGGCTCGTTAGCCATAGCTCCACGTCTTTACTCCGCGGCGCTTGCGCAGGGAATCCCTTCCCTCTTGCGCACGGCGGTCCGTGTACGCTCGGCTCGAGACGATAGATTATAAACTGCTAGTGTTTCCACATACACTACATCTCTCTCCTTTTTAAGTTTATTTTCTTTTCAAGCATGAATCAATCCACTCTATTAGGTATTTGTTCCTTGGAGGCATGTGTGCTACGTTACAACGATGGTGGACTCATTTTGACACTATACTGCCACACATAAGCCGAATGCCTCTAGTGCGATTGGCCTTTGCAGCGTAACCAGCACCGTGATTTTTCCTCCTCGTTTGAATATAAATTACATTTATATATTAACTCCAATTTACTTTGTGTTTCACATACTTCACCTTTCTTCTTTTATATTTGTTTTCATATAATCGTTATTCCACCTTGTTATTGTGTAATATTATGTAAGATTAGTATAAAGCACTTCTGAAAAAATGTTGTATGTTTATGACCAGAATATCTCTACCATAGTAGTCACTACTTTATATTTTGTAGGTTTAGGGTAAATACTTATATT